GTAATTTCTACGTGATGTTAGTGCAATTTATAAAATCATTTCATAAAGACTACAAAATATTTCTTAAATTTGTTCCATGGATAGAGTGAAGTGCGCTTAAAAATAGTGCAGGTCTCATTTTAATAGAACTCTCTGAATTTTTAAAATTCCATAAAATATAAGTAATGTGAGAAAGTATATTCTGTTGTACCACTACCAACATTCGTAATGTCCTGTCAACATCCATACTGTTACTGTCAACATCCACAAGGACGGGGTTAATGATTTTCCTGACACATCGAACGCATTCGATGCAGCTATTAAGTTTACTTTGGAGAAAGAAGAGAAACTGACCCTCAGTTTCCCAAACTCCTCTCTTGCATGTGAAAATGGAATGCCTGTTACAAAATTATTTACTGAAACAAAAAAAATAGTAACATAAAGTCATACTTTTTTGTTTAAGTGGATTCATGAATCGTCTTTAAATGCTCGTGATGATGACAATCAGTCCACACAAACTATTACCTTACTCTATAGAATCTCAAAATTTAACTAATGCAGGTAACTAATGGTGCTTCAACAGCGCACTCTGGCTCGCATTATTTCTAACTTTTGCGCTTCTAAAATTCGTAGAGTTCAACGACAAAAAAAAAATACCTGCACCATTTTTAAGAGCGCGTTGCTCTATCTGAAGAAAAGATTTAAAGAAAAGATTCGTAGCCGTTTTTGATAAACCTTTTTTATCAATTGCATTAACTTCAAGCAGAAATTACGCGCTTTTATCAAAACATTGTATATGACCTTAGTTAAAGGTCAAATGTTTTTAAACAAATTTTATTTAAGAAACAATCTCAATAATCGATATTGTTAGCAATGTTATTGTTTGCAATGTTCTGTTTTGCAATTTTAGAAAATACAGTGAGTTTGAAGAAAATTATATCAAAAGTTTTTTATTGTCCTCTCCTATATACGAGGGGAAATGTTTTAAAAATCGAAGCCGTTTATGAGAAAATAATTGTTAAGAAATTGCCTATATTTCACGCAAAATTACTCGGAAATTACTTGTAGTGTTGAACTTGAAAAATTGTACTTTACCTTATTTTAAGATATGTTTTTGAACAACATATATATCCGCCAAAAATCAAAATACCTATTTCAAACTCGCAGGCATTTCACGTTCATTTATATCAATCGGCGAATATAAATTTTGGAGACAATTGTCTGAACAATTCAGTATAACAGTTTTTTTTTAAGTATAAGAAAGGAGAAGATGTATTATTTTCGCCAGACTCGCATATTTCCTCAGCACCACCCATGTATTCTTTTCCTTACTTGGTTTTCTCCAGCTTTCCATCCAGCAAAGGTGGCTCAGTGCGTCAACTGATGTCACCGCAGTGTCTCTGACTGAGAGGTCCGAGGGTTAGAATCCCGACGGTAGCAGCATTTTCGACTCTAGATAGACATCTAGATCGAATTCAGCCGCTATCTGGAAGAATATTGTAGCGGCCAACTACTCCGATCGGTTATTTTCTTTTTTGTTTTTTTCTTTTATGAACGCCAAGCAAATGCCGAAGCAGTACCCTAACAAACGGGCCACGGACCGCGCGCGATCTTCCCTTCTCTTTCTTGCCCTGTTCTCATCCCTTATTTACACACACTTACATTAACATGCACTACACTACCACACTTGTCTGGTGACCAATAGGGAGCCTAGAGCTTGTCCCGGCTGGGGCGGTGCCACGCTGATAGGAGACACCTAGTTGGGGAAAATCCCCGCAAGTCAGCATAGGTCGGCGCCGGAGCTGGAGATGATCACCGCCACTTCCCGAGATAAAACATGCCCGACACTTACGAGACTAATGACTAGCAGTTGGCGCGCTTTCCTTCAGGCCCCATTCCCACCCCTTCTCCACCTTTTTTCCGCTCGCTTTGTCTAGTATTACTACATTCGCCTCTCGATGACTTTGCTGACCACATGTTCTTGGTCTCTCTGGCGGTCCTTAGGTATCAGTTTGTCAGTGCAAATGAATATTTGAAAACTGATGCGGAACATTAATTTTTGAACTTGAAAATGGATATGTGTTATATGAATGTACAAATATTTTACTTCTGTATGTTTTAATAATTGACCTTTTTTGGTTTGTTTTAAAAATTTGTATTTGTATTTGTTTGTACAATTTGTATGAATATTACGGATAAGAACTATGAATTTGTACACCTGTTCTGAAGTTCTTGGGCATTGTTATAGTTTCAATTGGTTTTATTTGTAGTTTTTATTTTCAAGACGTTTTTAAACCCGAATATTTGTTCGCAACTGAACAGGAAACGTTAATTTTGTACTTTATCAGTTGTTTATGTATTAACGACACATTTATAACAGTTGATTTCTTTCAATTATCATTAGGAACTATCTTTCAGCAAGTACTAATATAAACAATCAGTAGGCTACCTTTAGCCGTTAATAACATTTTTATAAATTTTTTTGTTGGTTGAGAGAAGTTAAACGTACCCCAATGGTTATTGAAAATGTTATTCGTATTGAAAATGTAACACTACGTATTTTGTACCCTATGTACTTTATACTATCCACTTTATTATTTCAAATAGTAATTAAAAGTTTTAGGTGATAGAATTTGATAATTTGTTCTAAATATATTATTGCGTGCGTTTTATCAGGGCCATTCCAACTGATTGTAAAGAAGTCAACAAATAGCAATATTTTACTCATATGTAATGGCATTCGTCGCTTTTTTATGTAGCCAGTGATATTGCTTTTTCCTACGAAACATGAAAAGTGGGATACCATTATTCATTACCAAATTCCTCAATTTTAACGTGTAGCTAGTTATGGGCGAGACATTATCTTATTAGTATCAATCATGTTTAGTTACTATTGACATTGTTGGTTTTTTTTCATCACTATTAATGTGTACCATAACAAAATGTAGTTTCTCTTCTGTATTTTGGTCGTTATATATAACATTCTGCGAATAAAAGCTTACTCTAACATTCCACTTATTGTGCGACTTTGTACTTACGAGAAATGCGACGTAATACGAAAAATGCATGTACACCCAGAGAAGGCGAGATCAGTGTAAGGTGCCGGTGGCGCTCCGGCACAGCTCTGGCAGTGCAGCCAGCGCCGCCAACGCCGTCCGTCTGAACTAAGAGCTCTCTCTGTGCAGGGTCCGGCCACCTGGCACCGCACGGCGCCACCGTCGTGCAGGAGGGCGACAACCTGCGGCTGCGCTGCTCCGCGGCGGGCTCCCCGCAGCCCACCATCGAGTGGCGGAAGGCCGACGGCTCGGCCATCCCCATCGGCTCCTGGCAAGGTGAGGCGTGCATGCAGGGGTGCGCGAGGAAGCCGGGCCATTCCCATTAGAGATAGTTTTAATAGTTTGCACATTCTTTACCTAATTTTTTATTACAATTTGATAAATTTTCTGTATATTATCAATTGACATGCATCATTTCAATATTTAATTGACAGTGTAGATTAAATTTAAAATTGTAAATTTTATATTATGAAATTATATGAACATGTGAACATGTTTTCGATTAATAACCGTTTTTATTTGAAAAGAGATATTCCATTACTTATCAGCAAAAGCGAGCACAGTTTGGTTTTGGATTTTGTTTGCGATAGAAGTGTCAAAATAAAAATTATTGTATAATATTGGATTGCATTTTATCATTCCTTATTTTCTTTCAGTTTAAATTTATTTATTTATCTATATATTTTTAATTTATTTTGTTTAATTTATGTGTTTTTCCAAAATTTTTAGTTACTATTTTAATTATATTGCGTTATCTATTTTTGTTTGATTAAATTGAAGAAAATGGTTGTGTATATTTAAATGTTTAAATGTTCATACAATGTAATGCACCAATTGGTTAAAATGGTTTTAATTACCGGACTATTTTAAATTTGTTAAAACCCTGAAACGCCTTGTACCAAAAACTTGTGCACGCCCTTACACACGCCTTTGCAGTCGGGTGGGGCAGGTATGGCAGCAACTGCAAACAATCTCCACCAAGGACGCGGGTATAGGTGGCTCAGGACATTAGTTGTTGTCACTGCAGTGCCTCTGACCGGGGATCCCTAGGGTTCAAGTTCCGACGGTGGTAGGATTTACGACACTAGAATAGCTAGGTCGAATTCAGTCACTGTTTTGAGAATTTTTGCGGCCGGCAGCTCTGATCGGTAGTTTTCCGTGGTTCCTTCCATCAATACCAGGCGAAGGCAGTGCCCTAGAAAATGGGCCAGGGACCGCGCGCGATCATTCCCTCCTCATCTCTGCCCTATCCTCATCCCGTACTAACAAACACTTGCATGTAGTACACTATTGCGCATATTAGGAGACCAGTCCAGAGCCTAAAGGTTGGCCCGGAGCCAGAAGAGGGGAAAGTTGGCGAAAAGGCCAAAATCAAAATATGCTTCAGATGATCCATTTCACATAAAAGGGGTAGCAAAATGTCTCCTTCGTCGTTCCCTGATCAGGAAAGAGATGGGGAATCCCGCCATTCCTTTTAGTGCAAGTTTGAACTTGCACAAGTGTCGCGCAGCGCACTTCTTCGCTCTGGCACTAAGAAAGACGTGTGTTTTTCGATGTAAATAGTTTTGCTTTCTCGAGCAGTAGAGTCAAATATTCTATGAATGCGATACTTAGAGGTGTGTACTTAATGTACTGTGTAAATCTGTAAAAGTAAAAAAAAAACATATTCCTTGAATAATAATTCCAAGTAGAAACTCCGCGTGTCACCACGGACTGAAATTTTTAAATCTGGTTTTTCATATTGTCTTTTAGTTACCTTCCGCGCATTTTAGCGCAATGCTTTTAACCGAATCTGATTCGGTAATTCATCTAATTTTCAAAACATTAATCAAAGGTTGCCCATGCTTGCCCCATTTTGTGTTGAGGTACTTTGTTTATAATGATTCACACCTAGTTTGGTAGCATTTCTACCTACAATATTCATTTTTTTATTCTTCGTTCATCGTCTGGAACTGAGAGCTCTATAGGAGTAATATGTGTGATGTTATTTAATACACTGAAAAGAAAAACTATAGATAAAGTTTCACCAGAAAAATATCCAGAGAGCAAACTTGTAACTGCCTCGCAGTTGTTAATTGCTTCCGACCAACTGATTTCAGAAATGGAATAGAGAAAAATTGTAAAAAATGCGTTTGACCTAGAAGTTACATTAATGTTAATGTCTTCAAGTAGAAATTCACTTCTGGAAGGAGTAACATGATGGAAGTTTTTATTTTGAGGTTACGTAATTAAATACTTGAAGGTTAAACAATTGAATTAGTTATTATTTAATTATAAACTGTTTTTTATTTTCAAAAATCCCGAAAAACGCTTAAAAATACTTTTTGCCAACTTTTCCCCTCTCTCGCCCCAGTATTTTCAGAGCTTCGCCAAAATATCAATTTTTGTGATATTTTTCCTTATAATCCAAATATTTATTATTTTAGATGTGCCCGTAATAGCCCAAGTTGTTCATGTTTCAGGCATACAAATGAATGTTTCGTTAGATACAATATGCTTGCTGAGCGACCTTCATTCAGGCTTCATTCATTTTGGGAGTACCCGTCCTGTGACCGTCATTGATACAAGTTCTGTATGAAATGAATCGTAATTGACCCTCAAAAGTTGAACTGAAATCAATTATGTTGCGTGAAAGTAAACGAAGTTGTGGGATGGGCAAATTCGGACCAATGTTGGAGTAAAAAATATTTCAGATTTTCTTGAAATACGTGGATTATTTTAATCAGCGTAATATATACCCAAAAGTATGTTGGTTGTACAGCCGGAGACAAAATATATAGAAGACGTACAAATGTTTTTAAAGTACCCGAATTTTTTCAGACAGAAAAGGTTTCAGAAAATGTTTTTTTTAATTTTTATTTTTGGGTGAATGGGCAATCGAAAATATGGTTGGGCAAACGATGGGAAAAATGATGTGCCAGTTTTTTTTAAAACGCCTTCATTTTGCTCAGCTAGCTTGATTTTGCCCCTGAAAATCTTTTCCGCTTCTGATTTTGTTGGTGTGGTGGTGTAAAATAAAATATCTGTTGGGCAAATCCAGACAAACAATGTGCCAAGTATTTACAAATTAGAGTTAAAGTAAGACATTTTGATTGAAACTCCAATATATTATTTAGATTTTGCGTTTTGGAGTGTTCCCATATGGGAACAGCGGGTCTTAAAGAGTGGGTGAAGTGTAAATATATATTTGTTTAGAAGGTCCACATAAATTTAATAATGTAACTTAGTTTTCAAGATATATCATTTTATTTTTGATGGAATAGTACAAACAGTAGTCCGCATGCAGAAATATATTACATTTGATACACTTCATTCTAATTTTTTTCTTGTATTGCCGACAACGAGATTATTTCTCTCCTTTGGAAATGAAATGACTTTCATTATCATATTGTGTTTGATTTGTTACTCTCTTTTCTACACTTCCGACCAAACGAGGTAACTTTCCAGGAGTAACGTGCTGTGAGTATTTTTGAAGGTATGTGAGAATAATTCTTCGTGTAAACTCAAGCTGATCCATTTGCACTTTCTAGCCCGTTGTGCACAAACTGATGATAGAGATTAAATGCATTTGGAATTGACGTATTCAATGAAAAAGTTAACAACTATCAGGACCATTTTTTGTTTCTTGTGTCCACCCTCGAATTCAGTCGCTGTCTGGAAGAGAATCCTAGCTGCCGGCTGCTCTGATCGGTAGTTTTCCGTGGTTTCTCCGATAGACACCAGGCGAATGCCGGAGTAGCACCTTAACAAACTGGCCACGAACCGCTGCTGTACTGTCGCGCATACTCGACTTCCTCTTCCTATCCTATCCTCACCCCTTACACACACACTACACTACTACATATGCCGAGAGACCCGTCAGAAGCTGAGAGCTTGTCCCGGCTGGGGCAATGCCCCGCTGGTGGGAGATACCAGGTTGGAGAAAACCCCGCTAGCCGACGGTATATCGGCGCCAGATCTCGCCAAACAGCGGGGGAAAAGACCACCGCCACCTCCCAAGCAAAAACATGCATTGCACTTACGGGAATAATGACCCTGCTAGTTGACGTGCCCGGAATCACTAAACAATTAATCAATCAAGCTATTCCCTGCAAACATTTTAGTAGATAAAAGACTATCTCGCGAGTATGGGTTTGTTCTATGTCCTGGTTTGGACATGGTTGTAGTAAATTGGCGACTGTTTACCAGTCAATAAAGCTACAGGAACCAAAAATCAAAATATACAATAGAAAGTCGGTGGAATGTTCTTCGCAGTGCTGGTACTAAATTGGAATCCGGGTACAAGGCACAATGGGTAAGGAACTGAACACTGAAAGTTGCATAAATAGAGATCATTGTTTTATTCGATTTACATACGCACAAAACAAAACAGTGCGCGTAATACTCGTACTCTTAAGAGCTAACAATCTTCAAAATAATTCCCTATGCGTCCACACATCTTTGCCAACGATGAGGAAGGCGCTGAATATCATCAGTTGTGTGTGATGAGTCTACTCGCGCCACCTCTCGTCGATTCGCTAACAGCGCAAGTTTCGACAGAATCCACCACCCACGAAGGTCATGCTTATTTTGGCTTATGTCAGACAAGATATTCTCGTGTATCATCTTGTCCGTTAGGGCCAAACTGTCACTGTCACGTACTACAGATCTTTCCAGCTGCACACTGCGTAGTACACTGCAGAGAAATCGTTAGGATGCCCTCCCTACTTGCGAACCGCTTCCCACAGAGCGGTGTCTTCATTTTGGGAATGAGATCAAAGTCGCGCGGGCTGAGATCAGAGGAGTACGGAGGGTATTCTGAGATATCCCACTCCCACCGCCGCACAAGGTTCTGGACACAGGCTGCAATGTGGCTTGTTGCATTATCATGAAGGAGTATTGTAATGTTGAGAAGCCCTGGGCGATTCCTCTGCAGTGTACGACGCAGAGTGGAGCAGGAAAGATCTGTAGTACGTGACAGTGACAGTTTGGCCCTAACGGACAAGATGATACACGAGAATATCTTGGCTATCATAAGCCAAAATAATCATGGCCTTCGTGGGTGGTGGATTCTGTCGAAACTTGTGTTTTCGTATTGAACCACGACGTCTCCTTTCATTTGATTGCCTCTTTAGTCCTGATTCATACGCTCGTACCCACGTTTAATCAACTGCATGTTGTAATCGCTTCAGATTGATATATGACTCGTATCGAATCCGTTTCTTCACCTCACCATATGGCATCCTCTTTGCACAAACCTTGCGCATCGTAGTCATTGTGTAAATTGCGGAACACTGTCGATGCAGACATATCAGTATATGCGGGTAATTCTGCCACAGCCCAACGCCTTTCATCTGCTAAATAGTGTTCCATAACAGCTACTTGTACCTCTGTGTGATCAGACGCCGGACGTCCACTGCCGGTAGGCCAACAGTTGCCACGCGTCCATGTTTGAAAGCCTCCACCCAACGTGCAACAGTTCGATACCGCAAAGCTGTATCACCCAATGCTTCTCGTAGCTCGGCATGGCACTCACGAGCATTTCTACCTCGTAGAAATGCAATTTTTACATATGCTCATAATTCAACTTTAATGACATCAATCTCGGAGCACAATCTCTAGGATACTAACGTTTGAATATGTTGTCTAGACGCCAATCCACTTAGACGTCATCTAGTGGTCGCATCCCGTACTGTGCACACCAAATTTTCAAATGTATAAAGTGCAATAATCGCATATGCAGCTGTTCGGAATATACACGATGTCAGGAGAGGAAACGTCGAATCTTCGCAAATTAGCTCTTTTAACAATTTTAAGCATATTTTTGTCTTATAAACTACTGGGTTATTCTGAATGCTTGGGCTACAATAAGCACTCAAAAGTTGGTTTAAAAAATGCTTTCTAAGCAAAAAGTTTCATTACAGAAGCATAGAAATACAGAAACACTCCAGAAACATTTAAATTGTTTATTGTTTACAAAAGAAATTAATATATTTGTTGAAAACGAAAAATGAACCCTGAAATAAAAAAGCACCCAATTTACACAATTTGACTGCTTTTTTTATTTCTCACTTAATTTGTTTTCGTAATCCAGTAGTTAATTAGACAAAATGTGCTTAAAATTGTCTTAAGAGCTTATTTGTGAAGTTTTGACATTTCCTCGCGAGACATTCTGTATACAGTAGTTGCAATGAATTTAGTAATGACCATCGTATATATGATTAGTAAAAGCTTTATTCTTTAGTATGTATTGGCTTGGAGGGGGGGGGAATCCCACG